CCAAAGAAGTTTCTCCTCCTGCTCAGGTGGCACCTCCTGGGTTCCAGTTGGTGCCTGGTGTCCCTTGTTCTACCACTGGACACCAATGATAAGATTCTGGCCCCATCCTCTTCCCATTGGGGGCCCTTTAGCTCTTGCTCAGCACTGCTCAGATCCCCTCTGAGGCTTCTCCAGGCTGAACAGCCCCAGGGTTCTCAGCCTGGCCTGGCACAGAGATGCTCCAACCCCTCAGCATCTCCAGAGCCTCCCCTGGACTCCCTCCAGTAGTTCCTTGTCTCCCTTGACCTGAGAAGCCCAGAACTAATGCCCAGACCTAACCTGCTTGCAGATGAGTTCCCCACCTTCCCCTTATAGGAAGCTCAGCTTTAATTTTGTCCAGAACTAACGAGGGACCTACAATGCACAGGCCATGCTGGTGCCAGTACCTTAATGATGGGATCCTTGGGTGGAGCCCACTCTGGCACAATCTTCCCATGCATCCTCCAGGTGCCGTAGGGGTTGGCCAAGTACCTCTCAAACACCACATACTCCAGAACATCCTTAGGCACCTGCTCCCCACCATACATCAGCCTCCCAAAGCGGTCGTAGATGGCCAGAATCTGTAAAGAAAGAGCCAAGAAACCTTCAGCTGGGCTGGCAGGAGGGTGGGGAGCAGGGGGGAGCAGCAGGGGCCGTACCTGCCGCGAGTGCATGCGCACGGTGACCTGGCCATACAGGTTGCCCCTGTTCACCAGGCTGTCACACCTCACATGAACCACCCTGGGAGGCTCCAGGGACTCCACGAAGCTCCATCGGATGGTCTTGTACCTGTTCCCACGGACCATCTCCTGGAGAGGAGACAAATGAGCACCAGTTTAACGGAGGAGCGGCTGAGGGAGCTGGGGGTGCTGAGCCTGGAGCAAAGGAGGCTCAGGGGAGACCTTCTGGCTCTGCACAGCTCCTGACAGGAGCCTGGAGCCAGGGGGGGGTCGGGCTCTGCTCCCAAGGGACAAGGGACAGGACAAGAGGAAACAGCCTCAAGTTGCCCCAGGGGAGGTTGAGGTTGCCCCTGAGGAACAATTTCTTGCCCTGGAGGGTTGCCCAGGGCTGTGCCAGGCTGCCCAGGGCAGTGGTGGAGTCCCCACCCCTGGAGGGGTTCCCAAGCCATGGAGATGTGGGGTGAGGGACACGGGGCAGTGGGGACCTGGCAGTGCTGGGGGAGCGGTTAGACCTGATGATCTTAAAAGTCTCTTCCAACCAAAACGATTCTATAATTCTCATTAGAATGTGAACTGGATGACAAGCAAAATACTGTATTCAATTAAGTATTCATTCATTAGCTATTACTCAGACTTGTGCTTTCCCTCCCAGCTCTGTCTTTATTGTATCCAGAAAAAAATGAGTGGGATGATGAAGTTTAGAGAGCCTCAAAGACCACAGAAGAGCTGAAGGACGTGCTCCACCCCAACACTCACCGGGTAGCAGCGCTCCGTCACCAGGGAGTGAAGCTTCTGCTTGTTGAAACTGCAAGGGAAACACACCCAGTTACTCCAACACATGCACTGTGAAGAGCCTCACCCAAAAACTCCTGCTCCCTGAGACAGAATCTCCTGGCAAAACAGAAAAAGCAGGATTCTCAGCTGTCATCTCAGCACAGAATCAGAGCGTGAGCACATGCTGGCTGACAAGACCTCAGGGAAAGACACAACAGCACCCTGGGGAAGCCAGTTGTGACCTAAATGTTTTATTGACATTTGGAACTGCAACCAAGAAGGATAGAGTTTTGAATCTGAAATATTCTGGAAAGTGGAGCGAGCCAGTGGAGTGTCATTTCCTAACCAAACAATTCCCTGCAGCAGGGTTCTGAGCAGCACCCACCACCCACTCATCAGCTGCTCACACTCCAACAGCTCATCTCCTCTGTGGGCCAGGTCAAGATGACTTCTCTGCAGCCTGCTTTCCTTTATCAAAAGCAGCAGGGTCCTGACCAAATCTCCAGCACTGCACCCTTCAGAGATGGGGGCAGAAAAAGATAAAGCATTTGTCACAGAGGAGGCACAAGGGTGAGAAAGGCAAGGGAGAAAAGCAGAGCATCTAAGCAAGGGGAGGTGGGTCCTGGGTCAGCACAGTGGTCCAAGCAGGGCTCTTACTTTGTCAGACAGTTGTGAGCTTCAATGAATATCTCCTGTGCCTTCTCTGGGAAGGTTTTTGTGCTGAAATTCGGATCGTGATCTTTGATCTTCCGCAGACTGAAAAGACAAGAAGAGCTCAACAGGAAGTAAAGAACAAACTTGGAGGTGTCTTGCATGTTTCAGATGATGATAGTGATTTTAAACACAACTTCCACCAGGGAAAAACTGAGAACTGGAGTATCCCCACTCAGACAGAGCCTCATGAAAGAGACAGAGAGCTGCAAACCCCAAAAAAATGCCAAGAAAATGAGTGCAAGTCTCATCCATCCACACCAGGACAAGTGCCTTGTGTTCATTCTCATGCCAGGGTTAAACAGAACAGCAAAGGGGGAAGTAACAGGTAGAAAACAAAATGTGTGATCTCACCACCCCAAGACAGAAGCAAGCAGAATTCCTGCACCACAGACTAATCCAAAAGGAGGCACTCACGCCAGCTGGGAGACAGCCTTCTGCTTCACCTTGTCCATCTTCTGCTTCAGCCCATCTTTGGAGAGGGAAGTCAGGCGGGCATCACCCTCAGGAGGGACATAAGGGTCTATAATGTCACCTGCAGGAGAGAGGAGAAACGTCAGGAGGCTCAAAACCAGCACAATAAAGAAACAAAGAGGCAGCACCCAGCTGCAGCAGCAAGATCCTTCCTTGAGAGAAGAAATAGGAGCATCCAGAGAATTGTCACTAACACAGCCTGTCAGCAGTGACAGGGGCCTGCTCCCTGCTCTCCTCTTCCACCCAGCCCACGAGAGGAGGGGAAGATTTAGCAGCAGGGGATGTGAGCTCCCCTTGCTGGTGCTTATCCCTAGGTAGGAAGGGGCCAAGGCAGGTGCTCCACCACCTGTGCAGGCCAAGTAGAAGGTCCTTTCTATATTTTCCTCAGGATATATTGGCCCCAAAGATTTGAGTCTTCTCTCCTTCTCTTCAGGGGTCAGTTCTCTGCTCCAGTTGGGGAGAGAATATCGCTTCTTGGTTCTCACTGGGACAAGGCAGCCTGGAGCTGCTGCAGCAGGACACAGCACAGAGCCCACTGTCTAAAGAAAGAGATATAACAAAGGCATGGAGTCAGCCCATAACTCCTCAGTCTCCCCATGGTCCCTCAGGCTTCTCAGTCTCTCCAAACCCCATAACCCCTCAGAGCCCCCCCAGCCCCTCAGAGCCCTTCAGC